TTTTTTTTTATTACATTTATCAAGCAGCTCAACCTAAAAGAGAAAAGAATACTTTTCTTGTATCACCTTTTCTAAGTAACTATACTTTGCATTGATAATTAGAGCTTAGTATTCTGGGAAAGCCAGCCCTGCAAGTCTTATTTTCATATACGATAAACAGGAACAACATTAAACAGGTTTAGAAACTTGCTGTGCAGCAGTTTCTAATTTGTAAGGAAGGAGTAGGGGAGAGGCACCTCTTCCCTCCAAAGTTCAATTTCACTAATTCATATTTTGCTAATTTTACTGTATGCAAAATCATAAATGACACTGTCAACAACTACTCATAATTAGAGCAAGAATGTTTTTGCTCCCAAGACTCTCATTCACTCGGACTCTAAGTGGCCATCTCTAGTAACAAGAATGTTGTTCAGATTCCATGCTCAAATGGAATCATCTTCTTGGCTGTGATTATTGGTCTATGTGCCAATTATAAATCAAGCTTAGTTGCTGCACTTGCATATAAAATGCTTACAGGGTAGCTCTTGAGTTCTTGCACTGCGATGGTAAAACTGTAAAAAATAATCTAAAAACAGAAACCCATAAAGTTATATTGGTGCTGGTGCTGACTTCAGGATCAGAATACCGGGTCACAATCCTAATCTCATACAGGTAGACCTTGATTTAAAGCAGTTCGTTATAATATACACAATGATGCACAATCATATATGTAGTCCTCGATTTATAACAGTTCATTTAGTAACTGTTCAAAGTTACCATGGCACTGAAAATGTGACTTATGACCGTTTTTCACAGTTATGACCTTTGCATCATCCCCATGATCATGTGATCAAAATTCAGATGCTTGGCAACTGCTTCATAGTTATGACCGTTGTTGTGTCCCAAAGTCATATGATCACTTTTTGCAAACTTTTGTCAAGCAAAGTCAATGGGGAAGCCAGATTTACTTAACAACTGTGTTACTAACTTATCAACTGCAGTGATTCACAACAACTTTGGCAAGAAAGGTCGTAAAGTGGGGCACAACTCACTTAACAAATGTCTCACTTAACAACAGAAATTTATGTCTCAACTGTGGTCGTAAGTTGAGGACTACCTGTATTTGAACTATTAATCTATTTTCTGCCCTAATAAACATATTTAGGATTTAGTCATCAAGGACTATGTCACACACTGGAGTCCAGGGCACCTCTGGCATAACAAGGCTTCCAATTAATGTATTATCCATCACTGTCTGCAGCAGCCTTTCTCAACCTTTTAACCTGGAGGAACCCCTGAAATAATATTCAGGTCTCAGGAAACCTTTGCATAAAAATTTACACACATACACGTTGTAAATATTGTGTAGGTTAGAAGGGAGTTGTATTATAACATACACACGTGTGTGTGTGTGTTATAATACAACTCCCTTCTAACCTACACAATATTTACAACAACAGCAAATTTGCAAACCAGCTGTTGTACCAGGGCATGTAAAAATTTCCATTCCTGAGAGGTGTTAGCATCATCTGGCACACAAAGTTCAAAAAATTGAGGAGACCCAATTGAGAAAAGCTAGTCTATAAAAACGTGCTGAAATCTAAATGCAGAGACCTAGCAAATGTGAGAAGAACATGCCATCAGTCCTACAGCAAGGATTCTCCCAGTGACAAAATGTTTGAGGTGAGTCCAAAGATGATCAATATAAGAAGAGACATCTCTCTGAGGGGTTTCAAAAGAACTGAATGTTTAAATGCCTGGGTGTAACTTAGAATGGCAGACAATACAAATAACTAGACAAATAATGAGCAGCAATCCACAATTCAGAGCCAGGATAATATCAGACACCTTTTTTTAATTAGCCCAACATGAGCTGAATACAATATACTGAAGATCTGATAAAGCAAACAGAGCAGTCACAACTGAAATTATAGATTGGTACGACAGTATTACACAGTCACTCCTCCCTAAATATTGACATGCCTCATGTTGAGCAAGCACTGCAACTGCATTGCTCACTGAGTAAACTTTTTTCCATTAAAGACAACAGCAGACATGGAAAGAAAAAAGTAAGAGTTTACATATTAAAAAAAGAATTTCAAATTTGTAAAAAAAAAAGTAGAATTTAAACAAAATGAACCAAACCCCACTTTTTTTGACAAATTCCATTTTATTGTTATTTTTCCCTGGTGGTTTTGAGATTTAAAACAGAAGCCCTTAATCAAGCTTTAATCTTGTTTTTTTTTTTTCATAAAAAGATAGGGTGAACAGTTCTTTTGGAAGTAACTAGTACCTGCTGTACACTGATTTAAAATCAAATCTTTATTCAGGTGTCTGGAATAAACAGTGTTGATTCCCTTGACATTTCAAATAAAGGAGCTCAACAATTTTGAACATCCTGTCCCTCTAGGGCAGGGGTTCTCAACCTTGGCAACTTTAAGACTTGTGGACTTCAAAGCTGGCTGAGGAATTCTGGGAGTTGAAGTCCACAAGTCTTAAGTTGCCAAGGTTGAGAACCCGTGCTCTAGGGGTCATAATAGCTATTTGAAGGAATACAGTATATGAAAGGGGAAATACAAAGTTTGATACTTGATGCTTGAGGACACTTCAGAAAGTATAGGTTGCCTTGTTCCATTCTTCTTGGATATATTTACAAATTAGAAGCTACCTACCACATTTTGCCCTTTTCCAAATTTTGCCTCATAGTTGTCAAAAATATATATATATTTGAATCAAATGCAACATTTAAATAAGGCTTTTCAATCCCTTTTGGAATTTATTTTTAATGAATAACAAAGGTACAAACTAAAAACAGGGACATCATACCACATTTACAAAAAAAAAAAAAAAGAGCAATGTGGCAGAACTGATTAGGCTACCAGAACTTAAGCTGACAATCACCCACAGATCTATTCTAGCACTTCATTCCATATAACAGTTATGTGGAGGAGGATCCAAAATGAATTCATAGGAGAAATTCAAAGTCTAATGTCCCTTCCCCACTTGACTGCACAGGCATACATCTCCTTAAATAGGCACACTGTTTCATAGTGATTCATAGCATACCCGTGGCAAAGAACCATACTGATAGGAAGATTTACCAAGGCTGTGTTAGTGCAATACATTGAATCAAAAGCTAGCCTAGCTACCATATTTTAGCTTAGCATACGGGACAAACTCAGTACATGTGATTAATCTAGAGTTCAATGTATTCACAATGCAGGAAAATGAAGTTCCATTAACCTTGGATTTTCATGTCATGTGAGTACAGACAAAGAAGATATTGGAAAGTACAATATGAAGGTTATATTTCTTAAAGCTCAAGAGAGTGTTATGTAGTATGGAAAATTTTACTTGATGTAGAGAAGATTTTCCTCAACATGTTTTGTTTTGCTTGTTTATCATTACAATATATGGATGTTTCTTACAAGGTTATTATGAGGATACCTTTATGATTTGTACTCTGTTTAGACTGTCTTTCTTCACCCATAACTGGAACAACATGTTCAGAAACCTCAACAGCTGCCAATAAGCAGCCTCTGACTTCCCTTCCACACCCAGCCAGTTTTTATATTCATTCTTTATCTACCACATCTCATTTTCTCTGCAAATTCTACTACTAACTTCTAGTCTTTCCAATCAGCAATAGTATAACTCCTTAAGACTACTGTATTATAGAAAAGCTTAAGAGCAGTATAATTTTAAGGCTAAGGATTTGTGAGCTAAGGATTAATCTAAGAAATAATTCCCAAATATAAATCATCTTTCCTCAACACTGCAACCTCTTCATAAGCTGCAGTCGAAGCTCCCAGAAGTCAAACCCAAAGAAAGATGGACAAGGACAATGTGGTGCAAATCAGAACACACTGGATGGATGCTGGGCTGGGGGAAACAGTACTTCCTCCATCCCCTTTAGATGGTGCTTGAGTCCAAAGTGTAGTTCACTTACCCAAACTCAGTACTCAATATGATATGAATTGGAAATCAAAACGTTCTGGGAGCAAGAACTGGAGATAATTGGTGTAGAATTTGTTTTCCTCCGTTCTATGTCTATATGAACACATTCCATACAGGTACCTATGCACTGCTACCCTTCATGTGTCTAGGGAAGCAGACTCTACCCAACTTTAGGATGCCAGAAGAAAATCTGTTCAGTTGCAATGCAATCTGCAATTACCCAGAAGGTGAATTCAACACACTTTACTTCTGAGTAGATCAAATGCCGGTTTGTGCAAGAAAGGTTCGCTCGTCCTCCCAACAGAAAAACCTTACTGTCCTGGGGCCCTCTTTAAATTCCACTTATCTTCAATAGAAAGCAGCTGAAGGAAACAAACGGTAGATCTGCAAGATCCCACCATTTAAAAAAACAACAACAAAAACCTATACACCGAATCTCTCTCTAGGCTTTTAAAGTTATATCATTATCATTATTATTATTATTATTATTATTAAAAAAACCTATGAGAAACCTGGAGGAAGAAGCACCAAGGAATCACCTGCACTTAAAAAGATCTCATGCTGCTCATTCAGGGAATTCTGAAGCGCTGGGGCGAGAAATATTTCACCACCCCCGAAGCCCAAACCGCAGATCTGCTTTCATTTCCGCCTCTGTCAGGATGGGGGACTAGTTTGGGGCAGCTCTTCCACATCCTGTTTTTTTTATATATATAAAGCCCAACAGAACAAAACACCCCCGCGAAACAGGTGAACGCGGCCGATACAATTCCGAGGGTAGAAGAGCGCGCAAAGCCTTCGCGCCCGGCGGCTCGAGGCAATTCAACCTGGCTCGGTCGGCGTCTCCCCAACCAAGCGCCACCTGCTTGGCCGCGCTCCGGCCAACAGAGAAGCGCTCCTCTGTCGGCAACGCAGCCTTTTCCTGGAAAGAAGCCCGCCCGCCCGCTTATTTGCAGGAGAAGGTCCCAGCTGCTGGTCTTTCCGGAGACACTTCAAGATCCCGCGCTCAACAGACAGGGCAAAAAAAAAAAAAAAAAGCAGAAGGCGAAATCCTAATAAAGGCTTACCGCCAGCCAGGGTCAGCACGCTGGTCCAGACGGTTGCCAAAGAAGACGACAAGCCCGGGAGCACTGGGAAAGCTTTGTTCCCTGCCGCGGCTCCTTCTCTTCTACCCGGGAGCAAGGCGCATGCTGCCGGCTCTCTCCCCTCTGGTAGCGCGCGGCGGAGTGCGCACGGCGGAGTGCGCGCGGCTCTGACTGCCCCGGACCGACTGCCTGCCTGCCCGCCTGCCTTGCCTGCCTGCTTGCGCGAGCCGGGGGCGGCGGGGCTGGGCGGGGCTTCCAGCCAAGCTCTTTCTGGCCAATGGGAAGAGGCCGAAAGGGAGTTCTGTCACCCTGAACTTGCACGCGGGAGCGCCGAGGCGGCTTTCGGCTTTGGGACTTTGGAAGAAATGCTCTCTAGTCATAGAGAAAAAGTCAGGGTTGCCCCGAGAGGGGCGGGGGAGATTCAACACCTGTTAAAAGCTAGCCAGTCCCATAACTCAAGATGCCACCGGGGCTTTTTTAAGACTCGAAAGGGCCCGCGGGTTAAAAACAAAAACAAAAACAAAAGATTGATTTGACTTGCCCCATTTTATTTCCAACCACATCCTGTGACGGCCCTTGTTTGTCTCCTTGTTTATCGCCCACTGAAGTCAGCGCTCCAGTAAATAGGATGACTGGAATCATCCTTAGATAGTATTTCATTTTATTTGTAAAATGCTTTACGGCTTTAAATGAAAAGCATCCATCTAAGTGTTGAGGATATTTTTTCCCATATTGGAAGCGGGTCAATTTCTCCAGACTAAAACCGGTCTGAATGCAGCCTGTTCACACTTCAGCACATATTATTCCCTGTCAAAAATCTAAACTTTTACAAAGCAAAAGTAAATTACCAGGCATGTATATTTCCCTTAACAAACTATGATTATTTTAATGTTCTCTTCCCAGATGTGGCTTGAAAACTATTTCCCATGTTCTGATAGTATATCCTGGCCTTTTTTTTTACATGCCAACAAATAGTTTTCAATTCATAGTGTAGGAAGTCAGCCCCCCCAGAGAAGGAAATATTAAAAGGGCAGATTATATTTCCTCAAAGCATCTTAAAGAGGCAGAAAGGCATGCCCAATTTTTCTTAATAGCCCCAGGTGTCCCTCCCCCAAACAGAAACCAGCTCTGTAGAAATGCAGATGTAAATAATCCATTCAGGAAGGTTGGAGGCCTCAGGCTAGAAGCTTAGGAAGACAAAGACACCTAAAATCTACATACCCCACCCAAACTCTAAGACAGGACATAATAGGATTAACTCACAGATGTCAAAGGGGCACACTCAGAGACTCAGGTCAAAGTATATGACACAGAGGAAATACAAAGCCTCAAACAACCTCAAGAGCCCCAGAGGGTATAAAAACCCACTCCCTACATGTGCTCTACTCTTTTCTTCCAGAACCATCTTTCTGTCTGGCTCTTCTCTTCAATAAACTGCAACCTTTTTTCTAAAGCATGTTGTTTATTCCCGGCTTGGACTGAACCATGATGAAGACTTTTCTTCAACAATAGCAACCACAAAGATAGATTTCCCCTATGATAATTTGTCACTAACCTGGTTTTTCAGGTCTTCTAATCTATGGTACATCTCTGGCCACTGTAACTAAGACCATCCACTCTGCTACTGGCCACCTTCTTCTCTTACCTTCCACCTTTCCCAGCATAGAGTCTTCTCCAGGAAGTTAGGCCTTGCCTAATACATATACAACCTAATAATTTGTGCCTGGGCTTTACTCTAGTAATTGTAATTAGCACAATGTATTATTCCTATATGCTGCTATGAGAGCAATGGCTTCTTCCTGAATAATCACAGCATGTAGCACAATGACATAAAATTGATACTTTACCACCTGAATTTTCTGTTTGTTGCAAAAGAACTAGCAGAAGACACCTTTCCTTGTTTCTGTTTAATTATTTTAACTTGCCTCTGAAACAAAGTTTCCTTTATTGTTGTTTATGCCTCACTTTCACTGCAGATTGAGAAACAAGTGATAACATGACCTAATTATTCCTGGTATGTTTCATACTATCTCTTTCTAGAAATAGTGTAACACATTTGTTCTTAACATCATTGTGAAACATAAACATTTGCAAATATAGAAATAAGGGACATTTTCCTAAAATTAGTTGCGCTAAAATAATACGTTTTTATATTCATTGATTCCCACCAAATTACAGATTGGAATGTAGAATGGTTTAGTTACAGTCACATTAAGTTTTTCAACTAAGCAAACTGTAACACTGTATTTTAATATTTCAAAAAGCAGGGATGGAATAAAGTGTATGCTTTACACACTGACTTTTAACAGTTTTTAAATCATCATTGTGCCAAAATAATAGCAACAAGAACATTTTTTTAACCCAGTGGTTCTCAACCTATGGGTCGGGATCCCATTTGGAGTCGAACGACCATTTCATGGGGGTCACCAAACAACGCAGTCCACCATTTTCCCCCCCTTTTCCTTAGCTGTACTATTCCCTTTTATTCTATTGGCTTTTGAAAGCCAATAGAATAGACTCTCTTGAATAAAGTCTAATTCTATTGGCTTTCAAAAGCCAATAGGAATTGTCCAGGCTGTCTCTGTCCTGCTGAGCCCACCAAGAGTCCCATTCTGCAAACAGTGCTGCACCAGTTGAATAGTCCTCGACTTACAACTGGTTGAGTAGTCCTCGACTTACGACCGGTTGGGGGTCGCGGCATTAAAAAGGTTGAGAACCACTGTTTTAACCATTTCAATGATGACTGGATGATCTGATGGAGACAGACAGAAGTCAGAAGGCTTAAAGATACTGGCCATATCTACATGATAAGGCTGTCTTGTCAAGAGTCACCAATTGTTTCTAGAGGCCAGAACAGACCTATGGTCTTTTACTCACCTCTAGCTCTTTGCCAGATTTTTCCTGCTCTGGGTTGAAAGTTCAATACTAGTGTTTTCCATCTTGTGCTGACTCTGACACTGTTGTCCAGTTTACCTAAGGGTAGTCCTCAACTTACAACTGTTTACTTAGCGTTTGCTTGAAGTTACAAAGTCACTGAAAAAAATGATTTACAATTGGTCCTTCTGCTTACAATCATCACAGCATCCCCATTGGTCATATGAATAAAATTCTGGCGCTTGGTAACTGGCACCTAAGTATGATGGTTGCAGCAACCCTGGATCAAGTGATTACCATTTGGGAGCTTACCAGCTGGCTTCCAAGAAACAAAGTCAGTGGGGGAGGCTGGATTTGCTTAACAACGATAGGATTCATGTGATAACTGCACTTAACCATGGCAACAAAGTTCATAAAATTGGGCACAACTCATTTATCAACCACCTTCCTTAGCAACAGTCCCAGCTGTGGTCTGTTGAAGACTGTGTTCTGTGCACTGTGTTCTAATTTGTTTGGAAGCATGAACATCCCCTTACTTCATTTTCCCAGCTATTCCTCAATGAAGTTTGCTGCAATTAATGTTTCAAACCTTTCTTGGTGCTTACAATATTTGTTTAGCATGAACAGTATTCCTAGTATTCCCAATGTTCCAACAGGAACATTTTAAGTACTATTTTTCTTTTCCTAAGCTACCTGTTTTTTCACTGCTTTTTTTTTTTTTTAAAAAAAAAGTCTGATCACTTGTAAACCATTTCATCACTTTTCCAGTCATTTGATCCAGAAAGTTTTGAGAGAAGTAAACAGACTAATTAAAAGTACATTCCTGTCAGATTACAAACCAGAGATATTCTGCAGGTCAAGCATAATAATTACGATATTGAGAAAAAAAACATAAAACAATCTGCATCAGACCTTCTTGAGGAAAAGCTAGAAAATGTAAGAATGTTTTATTATTAAGGTTTTTTTTATTTCAAAGTTGTTGTGTCTGTATATATGTGCATTTTGATACCTTATTTATATATATATAAACCTGATTGTTTGATTTTGTTTACAGTATGTATAAAACATTGTTTGGAATGATTCAGCTTTTATGTAAATAATTTCAAATGACTAACAAGTAACCCGACACACCAAATTTATTTGGAAGTAAGAGCCATTTCATTACCTCCTTTTTCCTCCTTCCGCCATAACATAATGCTATGCCTTGAGTTATTTGTAAAAATAATAAAGTCGGGATATAAACAGACAAACAAACATAAGTCTTAACAGTATTTCAAACCATGCTTTAAACACAGATTTTGGGTTTTGCTAAAAGTGTCTTTAGAACATGGAACAACCACCATTTCTGGTTAGCTATAATCAAATTTTAAAACCAAGTTTAATGACAACTCTAATGGTAGTTCAAGAGCCACATAGGACAGAGATGAGTATTTAGCTGTATTGTGTGAATATAGTGTCCAAGTAAAATGTTTTAAAGGAAGAAAATGTGCTAGTAGTAGGCACATGGCTTATACTCTAATTCAGTTGAATTGTGATGGATGCATAAGTTCATGATGAGCCAATGTTTAAAATGTCACAAAGATTTCTGATCAGATAAATGGATAAATGATATAAATTCCCATAAAGTTTTATAAAATTAAAAGATGGTCTTTCTTTAACTTATAGATTAAAGTGCTAAATAAGAATAGCAAAAGTCCAGCTGAGGAAGTCTAATTTAGTCGTATAATTTAGAAATGATTCACAATATGTACCAAATATATTTGATATAATACTGTGTTCTTGGGCACATTAGCCTGAAATCTATTGAAAACAATGGACCATGCAAGTCAAAACGTCTACCTTAAATATGTTAAGATATTGTCACACACCTGCAGGATGCATATTTGTTACGAGATATTGCTTCCAGTCAATTGAAACTTTTTTCAGCTGAACAAATGGTCTTTTTTTTTTTGTTTAGTGTAATGAGAAGTATTAAACACTGACAAAACATTCAGCTTTTTTTCAAAACACCTTTCTGTCATTATCTATGCTACGAGCTATGTGGCTCTTTGTTATATGTTCATCTTCCATAGTTATAAATAGATTATTATAATCTATTTTATATATATATTATATTCTCTGTGTCACCATGGGATCTGAACTTTGTGATTTAAGATTTTATATATACTTTGAACTTCTTATAAAGTACCTGGAGATTCAGAGTTTAATTATTAAGCACTTGCCTTTTAAGGAAGGTGATTCTGCAGCTATATATGCAGGATAAATGCAATGCAAAAGTGTTTGTTTGTTTGTTTGTTTTTACCAATGAGGTGATAAATAGTCTGGTCTAACTGCCAT